AAAAATACAAAAAGAAAAAGGAAAAAAAAACTAGCCAGGCATGGTGGTGCACACCTGTAATCCCAGCTACTCGGGATGCTGAGGCAGGAGAATCGCTTGAACCTGGGAGCCGGAGGTTGCAGTGAGCTCAGATGGCACCATTGCGCTCCAGCCTGGGTGACAGAGCGAGACTCCATCTAAAAAAAGAAAAAAGAAACAAATCAGAGGAGGGGAAATTCTGCATTCTTAAAAGCATGTCAGTGCTATACACGACAGTGACACAGTATGGGCAGAGTTTCTGATTAAGGAAGACTGAAGAGGCTCATCAACTCATCACATCCGACCCTAGACTGGCTCCTGCGTTGCAGGCAGTGTGTGGGGGTGAATGCTGGAAAGCATATTATTGGACAAATGGACAAAATTGGAATATGAATGGAAGATTAGAAAAAGTATTGTATAAATGTTAAATTTAGAGAAGTTTATAACTGAGTTATGGCTTTGTAAGAGAATGTTCTATTCTTAGGGAAAATACACTACTCTTGGGGAAAATTATTTTGGGGTAAATAAAGGGCCTTCAAAATGTTCAGAAACAAATTTATATCCATATGTTTATCTATGTATATGCTCACAGAGACATAGGAGAGATAGAGTAAGTAAAAATGGTAAAGCAAAGCAGGTGAAATATAACAACGAGTGAATCTAGGCAGGGGCTATCTATGCATGTGCTCTCTACACTGTCTTGTTGTTGCAACTTTTAAATTTCCCAGTGGCATAATTTTATTTTTATTTTTCTTTTTTTAGGTGGAGTCTCGCTCTGTCATCCAGGCTGGAGTGCAGTGGCCCAATCTTGGCTCACTGCAACGTCTGTCTCTTGGGTTCAAGCTATTCTCCTGCCTCAGCCTCCAGAGTAGCTGGGATTACAGGCACACGCCATCACACCAGGCTAATTCTTGTATTTTTTGGTAGAGACGGGATTTCACCATGTTAGCCAGGATGGTCTCGATCTCCTGACCTCGTGATCCGCCCGTCTCGGCCTCCCAAAGTGCTGGGATTACAGGCGTGAGCCACTGCGCAGGGCCCCTGGAATAATTTTTACAAAGAATAAATTTTAACCCCAAAATAGGCATTCAGATGTTAAGCAATATTAAATAATAATACAATTAGTGATTACATGCAGCTCTAGATCTAATAGATCTCGATTGTAGTCACCATTTTCCATTAGTATATGATTATTTGCAATTAAGAATAAACTGACTAATAATGCTGAATCTGTTCAAAACTGTGTGCTTAAAGAAAATAATGATGAATTGGAGCAAATTAGGAAGTCTGCTGTGAAAATATTACAGTAAAAATAGCAATAAACATTTAAAGGTATCTAGAAATAAATATAGCAAAGCATTGTGGCAGTTTTATGTGAAAATCGAAAAACATTTTTGACAGATGGAAGTGATTAGATTAAATGGGAGAGAGAACAAGTTTCTCAATTTAAAAAACTTAATATGGGCCGGGCGCGGTGACTCAAGCCTGTAATCCCAGCACTTTGGGAGGCCGAGACGGGCGGATCACGAGGTCAGGAGATTGAGACCATCCTGGCTAACACGGTGAAACCCCATCTCTACTAAAAAATACAAAAACTAGCCGGGGGAGGTGGCGGGCGCCTGTAGTCCCAGCTACTCGGGAGGCTGAGGCAGGAGAATGCCATGAACCCGGGAGGCGGAGCTTGCAGTGAGCTGAGATCCGGCCACTGCACTCCAGCCTGGGCGACAGAGCGAGACTCCGTCTCAAAAACAAAACAAAACAAAACAAAAAACAAAAAAAACCTTAATATGGAAATGATTGCTTTCTAAATAGAAAGACTCATTATAAACAAATAAAATTGTATGATATAGGCAAATAAGTCAATGAAACACAAGAGAGGGATCAGAAATAAGACCTACAAGTATGTAGAAACCAGATATGACAGAGCTGACTTTGCCGATCAATTCAAGTATGAACTATTCAAAATGCTTTTCTTGAATGATTTGTTTTCCATGTGAGAAAAGTAGGCCTCTCCCTGACACCATAGAAAACTCATTTCAGTTGTACTACAAATTTAAATATGAAGAAAGAAACTTCAACAGTCTTAAAAAATACCAGGGCCAGGCGCAGTGGCTCACACCTATACTCCTAGCGCTCTGGGAGGCTCAGGAGAGTGGATCATTTGAGGTCAGGAGTTTAAGACCAGTCTGGCCAACATGGTGAAACCCCGTCTCTACTAAAAATACAAAAAATAGCCAGGCCATTGTGGCGTGTGCTTGTAATCCCAGCTACTTGGGAGGCTGAGGCAGGAGAATTGCTTGAACCTGGGAGGCGGAGGTTGCAGTGAACTGAGATCGTGTCCCTGCACTCCAGTCTGGGTGACAGAGTGAGACCTTGTCTCTGGGGAAAAAAAAAAAAAAAGGAAAATACCTATGTAGCTTCAGAGTTAGGAAGGATTTCATAGGCTGGGTCTGTAGAATGTATAGAAAATAATTGATATATATCACTACGTTAAAATTATAAGTTTATCTGCAATAAAGTCACTGTAAACACAGTGAAGAGCCAAGTCACAGACTGAGAGTAGGTAATCCATATAATAAAGTGATGTTATCCAGGGTACAGGAAGGAAAAATGGGCAAAAGGAATAAATGGGAAGTTCATAGAACACATAACTTCACGCAGGTACTATTTCAAAGCATATTAATATAATGAAACCATCCTTGAGCGCTAACTACACGTAAGAACAGTCTTCCATCTTTAGCCAGATCACTGAGTTTCTAAACTATATAGTACATTTTTTCAAAAAATTCTTATTTGGGCTGGGTGTGGTGGCTCACGCCTGTAATCCCAGCACTTTGGGAAGCCAAGGCGGGCGGATCATGAGGTCAGGAGTTCAAGACCAGTCTAGCCAAGATGGTGAAACCCTGTCTCTACTAAAACTGCAAAAATTAGCCGGGCACAGTGGCAGGTGCCTGTTATCCCAGCTATTCAGGAGGCTGAGGAGGAGAATCACTAAACCTGGGAGGTGGAGGTTGCAGTGAGCCAAGATTGTGCCAATACACTCCAGCAAGACTCCACCTCAAAAAAACAAAAAAACAAAAAAACAAAAAAAACAAAACTTATTTGAGTTATGTTTTTGACAAATTATAATCATATATAATCCTGGGGTAGACAGTGATGTTATGCTGTATGTACACAGTGTGGAATGATTGAATCAAGCATACTCACACATCCATCACCTTAAATACTTACCATTTATTCCTCCTTCCTAACTGCTACTTTGTACCCTTTGACCAGCATCTCCCCATTCCCTCAACTTCCAGCCTCTGGTAGACACCATTCTACTCTCTGTTTCTATGAGTTCAGTTGTTTTAGACTTCACCTAGAGGTGACACCAAATGTTTTAATCTAAAACTGTGACAAATCTCAGTGGCTAATGTCATGTCGTGAACTTTTGTAGGATCAGTCCTTTCCCGAGCATGAAAATGGTTTTCAGATTGGAATGAGATTAGAAGGCATTGATCCCCGACATCCATCGGTATTCTGTGTGCTTTCTGTAGCGGAGGTAAGGGGTGGTGTTATTGTCTTGGGCTAATTGCGTAGTGACAGAAAGATAATTTTCTAGAAAATAACAAATTTGTTTGATATTTATTATGAATAAGTTCCAATGCATTATGGATTTATTTTAGTCAGCGATGGGTGAAACTATATATCTTAGTGAACTTTTTTCCTTCTCTGAAGATGAATTTTCTAATAAGTCTTTCATCAACTAGCATTTACTCTTGACTTAACGGGTAAATAATTTTCACTTGAGGTTGATAACAATCTGTGAATCCCAGTGTTTTCTTTCACCTATTAACCGAGACGTACTTATTCACATTTTAGCTGAACTAATGAGAAATGTGTATGAATAATATTAATGCATATGCATTATACATTTATATAAATGCGTGCACTTTATGAAAATTATTTAGAGTGGAGAGCTCTTGATGAATGGCTTATAAAATGTAATACTTACTAAACATATTATTAAATCAATAAAAGATCTTTATATTTCTGATAGCATTGAACATAACAGTCACATTTATTTACTTTACTGATTGATTATGGCTATTAAAGTTGTACCACATGTCTAGAGGATGTATTTATCAGATCGCTTTATTATTCTCTTTATTGAGTATGCTGGATACACATGTTAGAGTTGAAACAAGGCCATGCCTATTTTAGTTTTGCTTTGTACTTTAGCTTACACTGTATTGGAATATGAATCCAGGCCAGAGGGCAGAAGATAGGGTTGCCGAAGGGAATATTTGACAGGAATTGAATTAATAAAGAAAACAGTTAATTAATGAATACATAAACTGACCCTCAGATTCCTAGATTGGGTAAAAGGGTCACTATTTTTGCAGAATGCACTAGATACCTATAAGACAGGGTCTCATTTCATTACCATTTTGTCTTAATCAGAGGCCATCCATAAATTTGTTCTTTAATGGAAATATTTGGGTAGAAGGGTTGGCTCTTGTATGTTGATAGTACTGACAAAATATGTAAATATTTTGTGAATTTTGTGTCTATTCCAAATACATGGCACTTAACAAATGATTGTAAACTTTCTGTCTTGCAGGTTTGTGGTTACCGTCTAAGACTTCATTTTGATGGTTATTTAAGTTGCTATGATTTTTGGACCAATGCTGGTTCCCCTGACATTCATCCAGTAGGATGGTGTGAAAAGACCAAACATGAATTGCACATCCCTAAGGGTAAGCCAGGATACATTTACCAACTGGAAAGAGAATCAACTGGCATTTCACTTATATTTTAACAACATTTTATGAAATTCTAACAAGAGATCCTGGTGAGAATTGGTTTCCAAAATGAAATTGTGATCCACAAAGAGTAGTAAGACTATAATGGTACCATTTTTAGAAGTAAATATGTTTAAAGAAAAGCATAAATGACTATTTAGGTCAAAAATTCTGATAATGTACAGAGGGTAGAAATAAAATATTATGAAAACATTTTATTTTATTTCATATAAAGTTTATTAAACCTTATAAGGAGTGCAGACTAATAGTTAAATCATGGTTGAAATGAAATATCTCATCAGTGATACTGCAAGGTGAGGAAACTTGATTCACTGTAAATAATTTGTTTCAAACTTAGGAATCATGGGAAACATGGAACTATGAAAAAAAAAATCACTATTTTCTTTTGATGGGAATGAAAACTATCATTGTTTTGTTATATACTAGAGGAATCTGGGCCAGGCAGATGTGACCAAAACCTTTTCGATTTGCTGTGTGCTAGTGAGGTGGGAATGTGGTCAAGGATGATGCTGAGGGGCTCATATCTTTGCACAGCAAACTTCTGTACACGGTCTCTGGCTTGGGTGTCAGACTGTTTGATGACTGTGGCAACTTCTGGAGTCAACATGTAGTCCTTTATTCTTAGTTATCCACTCAGGGTGTCCCCCGGGATCCTCCCCTGAGCCTGATGGCAGAGTCCCTCGAGGTTGCTGGTTTCAGGGAAGCTGGTGACAGGCTCCAGGCTCATTCATTCAGTAGGTGTTTATGGAGCCCTTACCACGCGAGGCACTGCGGGCAACAGCAAGTAAAGCGATGCCTCTGTCTCCGTGGGGCTTCATGGCAGAGGAGAAGGATAATGGCGGTGGCGGCAGGGACACTCTTTCAGAAAGCATGGGGGAGAAAGGCCTCTCTGTCGACGTCATGTCCCAAGGAGACGTGGGTGAACTGAGAGAGGAAGCAGAGTGCTGTCTGGGTAAGCCATCCGAGGGAAGAACAGGAGCAGGTGCCCGGGGCAGGAGTGTGCTTGGCGAGGGCGAGTCATCTCAGGGAGACAGCAGAGAAGCCCAGGCGGGAAGTTCGGGGACGAAGAGGGTGGTGTTCCCAGGCCTGGAAGGCTGTGCATGGAGTTTGACTCTTGTTCCAAGGCTGGTGCTCAGAACCATATTTTGAGCCTGTACTGTGTGGCCAGCACTGTGTGAGAGCTACGCTAGGGCATGCGAATGGGAGGATGCAGCAGTTTCTAATGGGAGACTTGTAAAGACGTGGCGCAGAAAGCTGGAGCTGTCAACTGGGCTTTGGACTGAGAAGGGGTTTCTGTGCCTGGCATCCTGGATGGCTGCACCATCAGGACCTCTGATGGTCTCTGTGATGTTGCTTCCTCAGGAGTGGGGACAGGTGCGGGAAGTGTGGTCTCATCCCTTTGCCCATTCGGGAAAGCCTTAATGGGCGATGAGACTCCCATCAAGCCACCAGAGTACTGACTCCGTATCAGAGCATATGAAATTATATGGCAATGATGTGCGTGATGGGGAAGCATTGTCAACAGTTTTGAACATAATATATTTTAAAAAGGTGAAACCATTTGAAGATTTTAATTTAAATCTTTTGTGGGTGCTAAGGACATTGAATTTATGACAAGACACTAATAATAATAATATGAGGTTGGTGCAAAAGTAATTGTGGTTTTTTTTTTTTCCATTAAAAGTAATTGATAGCATTAGGAGATATACCTAATGTAAATGACGAGTTGATGGGTGCAGCACACCAACATGGCACACGTGTACAAATGTAACAAACCTGCACGTTGTGCACATGTACCCTAGAACTTAAAGTATAATTTTAAAAATCTAAAAAGGAAATAACTAAATAAATAAAAGTAATGGCAAAAACCGCAATTCCTTTTGCACCAACCTCATATTTACTATGCATGTGATTATATCTTTTGGGCATTCTGAGTAATCGGTGCTTTTTCTTAGGTTATAGAAAAGATAAGTTTGTTTGGATGGATTACCTGAAGGCCTGCAAATTGCAAAATGCTCCAAAGAAATTATTCAGAAACAGAAGCCCTGTAAGTGTTTTCTTTCTCAGCATAAATCAGATTTGCCCACGCTTAAATTTCTGAAAATTCACTATATATTCTGTTTTATTTTAATCCTTTAAGAAGTTATGGAAACTCTTAACTTCCTATGACTTTTCTCACCTAGTTCGTCAGTTTCTTATGGGCATATCTTGGTTTTCTTCCTTTAAAAGTATAACTACTTGAAGTAGATGGGAAAAGTTAAAAACTTTGTGTTTAAAGCCTACTAAAATTAAAAGTGTCTTTTAAAAATGTTTTCTCTTACAGTGAGTTAGTCCTTTAATCTTGGTTTTGGTGTTTTGAAACCAGCAGATACTCTGAGTAGGCTTTGAATGTACCCAGCCTAGATTTGTTTAAGTGTAATGAAAACGAGAGTAACATTTTGTACTAATTGAAGGAGTGTTCTGAGGATCTGGGTAGATCACACTTCTTATGCCATCTGTGTCCCCAGAAATCTGGTGAACCTTCCGTAAAGGAGAATAAGTTGCAACCCCAGAAGTTGACTCTGCCACCGGCAGGCGGTGTCACTGTGCAGGCCACTCACTGAATTTCTCCAGACATCACTTCTGTGGTCTGGAAAGCAGAATTATACAATTGTTACTTATGTCTCATATATTTGTATCAAGAAAAGGAGCTATTAAAATGTGAAATTGCTATAAAATTAGAATGTGCTGAAGGAGAGTAAACACCAGGGTTTGATAAAAGAGAAGTAGAGAAAAAAATCCTCTTTTTGTCCCCAGATATTATGTGTACTCCCTAACTCCCAGGACTGGCTAATTATAGATATATGAAGGGTGGGTTTGCAATTGTTAAGTTATTGTAAATCATCGTTCATAGTATTTTTATACTAAAAAAGTACAGATAATAAAAAAGCATTAACATTTTAAAATTGTAATTTAAATTATATGTTAAATGTATATAAATTATATGTATAAATTCACATTTTAAATTATAATTTTATTTAAGCATTTATTCCTTAAATATTGAAAAAGCCACTTATTTTCGGATTGAGTAATCAAATTGAAAGGATACTTTGGTGCTAATTAGAGTGTATCTTCACCACTTTTTCAAATAGTGGCATTTGGAAACTTTAGAAGCCTATGGGAAGCAGAGAAGATTATTTGATACTTATGTAAACATCATATTTTAAAATTAATGCAAATTATTCTAAGAATCAAAGAGGGAAATATGAAGATGATAAGGGAAAGAAAACCTCCCTGCACAAGAAAAGACAAAAGCACAAAGGAAAACTGGTTTCCTGGGCCTTTGTTATGAGCATAAACTATGTAACAGTTGCCAGATATATTTACAGGCATTTGCTGGCTTTGTCCAGAGGCTAAGCGCTGACATCTGCAGACTTTGCTGATGTAAACACAGAAGTTTTGACAGTGGCTCAGTCTTATTTGGTGTCCTGTTTCTTTTTGTGCTTCTTCCCCTGCTGGTGCTGCGTTAGAATGGGCCAATGCCTAAAGAATTTCAGGTTGGAATGAAGCTGGAAGCCGTCGACAGGAAGAACCCTTCCTTGGTGTGTGTGGCGACCATAGCAGATATTGTTGAAGATCGCTTACTAGTGCATTTTGACAACTGGGATGATAGTTACGATTACTGGTGAGATACGAATGTGTGTTTTGTTTTTGTGTATTGATATGTTTGATGTTAAGAATTTGTTTTCATTCTAGCACTGTCGCTCTTCTTGCTGTTGTAATAGTGATGAGCATCCGGAATTTGGTGGTTGACTGTTCACTTCCTTCTCTTCCATGTGAATGACCGCATTAAAGTGAATGACCTAGAAAGTTCTCCATCTGTAGAGGTTACCCAGTGAAGCCTCGTCTGAAATAATATAATCAGTTAAGGACACTTTGCTGTATTTTGTCTAGTTTGTAAGGAAAACATTTCTGTGAAGAGGAAGCTAAAAACTTCCAGTATGGGTATTTTTTTTTTTTTTTTTTTTTGTCTGAAAAACCTTAAATGTACCTTGTCACATTTTTAAAAGGAAAGATTCTGGGAAAATGGGAGTGAATTCTTCGAAAGCGTATGGGGAGCGGAGAAAATGTATGCTACCATGCCATTAAAATAATATGGTATGAGTTGAAAGGGGTCTTTCTTCTTTTTTTTTTTTGATTAAAAAGCTGAAATATGCAAGAGGTCATGGCAAAAATAATTTTTACAGCATTTCTCCACATATGTCCTGAGTAATCGCCACGCCCGTGCCTGAGGCAGTGGTTCTTCATGTGCCTGATGGGTCCTGTCTTCTCCTTTGAACTCAGAGGCAAAGCAGAGAGGAATTGTTGTATATGTGTCTTAGGCAGAATATTCTGGGTTCTTTGAAAAGGACGGGGAGGAAAAATGTCATCTGCAGTCTGATTGGGCTGTCCTATTAATATTTTCTCTTGCTGCCAGCAAGAAGTGGTAGAAGTTTATTAAAATGCTCACTCACTTTTTTTGGGAACGTCACTGGCAGTTCAGGTCCTTGCCAATCCCCTGTTAATTTTATACTTTTAAATTTCAAGAAGCTTATGTGAAAGAGAAGTGTGGTAACAGCCTACTAATACAGTACTGAAAATTCCTTCTAATTCTCTCCAGCTGTGAAGTACTGTTTTCTGTGGTATCTCTTGATATCCAGAATGACTGTTACTCTTGAATTCTTTGTCTGGCATTAAGTAAAACGGAATGTAAAATAGAGTTCTGTTTCTACAGGTGTGATGTTAATAGCCCTTACGTCCAGCCAGTTGGTTGGTGTCAGGAGAATGGAAGAACTCTGATAGCACCCCAAGGTGAGTGGACTGCCTGGACTTTCTCTGAAGTCATCTCTGTGTAAGTGGCAATCCTCATTTTTATTTTGTTTATGAAGACCGTATTTTAATACAGGGTATATTATAAAAATGCTGTGTGAGATTCTGTTGACCACCAAGTGCCTGAAACCTGCATTTCCTTCCCCATAATGAAGATGAACTGTGTTTATAAAGATGTCTTAGGTGCTGGGTGTGGTGGCTTATCCCTCTAATCCCAGCACTTTGGGAGGCCAAGGTGGGCGGATCACCTGAGGTCAGGAGTTCTAGACCAGCCTGGTCAATATGGTGAAACCCCATCTCTACTAAAGATACAAAAATTATCTGGGTGTGGTGGTGGGCACCTATAATCCCAGCTTCTCGGGAGGCTGAGGTAGGAGAATCGCTTGAACCTGGGAGGTGGAGGTTGCAGTAGCTGAGATCGTGTCACTGCACTCCAACCTGGGTGACAGAGTGAGACTCCGTCTCAAGAGAAAAGAAAAGAAAAAAAAAAAAAGATGTACTAGGCAGCCATTAAAACAAAGTTGCTAAAAATTTTTATCCAACAAATGAGTACCATTGTTGAATACTGATATTTAAAACTAGCTATTTCTACTTACATAATTTATCTAATAATTTAATTAATTAATTGAACGATATGATTATTAAATATAATTAACTTTGGAGTTAAATGTAGAAGTACAGAAATCTAAGCAGTAAGAACCAACTTACTAATGGGTCTCCAGAACTTGCCAGACCTCCTTCCGCAAACCAAATTAACGGCTTAGCTAAACATTTAAATAAGGACTCTATCGAGTTATTTATTTTTTCTCATTACGGAAATATTATGAAATGTTTAGAGACTTGCTCTGTCAAATCCCTTTGTTTTTTAATTTAAAAATGAATTAGACGTACGGGCTGTATAATCTTAGTATTTTTAACACGAGTGTTCGAGCAGACAGATATTTTCTTTCAATGAAAAATGTACAGAAAGAAATGTAGAGTAAGAGATGTGCCATTCTAGAATGGAGCAAATGTTCTTTTGATTCAAATGATTCATACTTTTGCTGTTTTTTAATGTTTTTGCCTTAAATATAGAAAAATACTAGGATTTCTCATCAAATTCTTGAATTTAGTGAAGATAATTTCAAGAATTAAAAACAATAAAGAAACCAAACCCAAATCACAAATTATTAAAAAATGCCTGTTTGGTCTAGAAAGGTTTTATGAAATATTTAACACCTTAAATTTTGATTTTGATATATGGAGAGATTTAGAGTCATTTGTTTTATTTTTCTGTAAAAGTGGCTAAAACTAACTTTAGAATAATGTTCCTTAAGATGAGATGAAATGCTCGTCAGATCTCAAGAGTATGTGGTTTGAGTTGGTGTGCCTAGAGACGTGGAATGCTGCTTACCATTTTCATCTGGTGAAATAACCTCTCCACTGCATCCAGCTTGTTCTCACTATACTTCATGAATAGGCTCAGTCTCTTGGCGTTGTGTGAGCCTAGAAAAATTCTGCGCAGCACATTTGGAATTAGAGGTCCAGAACTGTGCCATCATTAACATGCTAGTTGTGTCTACAAAAGCATTGCCTAATCTCAGGTCATAAAGATTTGTTACAAAAGACTATTATTTCCCTATTGTCACCCTTATTGAAAATCCATTGCTCATAGAGTATGAGTTTATTTCAGGACTCTCAGTTCTTTTTTGTTGGTTCGTATGTCCAGTTTATACCAGTATCATGCTTTGATTACTGTAGCTTTGTAGTAAATTTCCAAATTGGAACGTATGAGTCCTCCAGCATCGTTCTTTTTCACAATTGTTTTTGCTCTTCTCAGTCCCTTGAATTTCCATCTGAATTTTAGAATTAACTTGTAAATTTCTGCAAAGAAAAAGCCAGCTGGGGTTTTGATAGTGGTGCACTGAATCTGTAGATCAATTGGTGGAGTATTGTCTTCTTCACAATATTAAGTTTCTCATCCCATGAACACAGGACTTCTTTCCATTTATCAAGGCCTTTTAAAATTTTCTTTCAATTATAATTGGTAGTTTTCAATTTACAAGTCTAGTACTTACTTTATTAAATTTGCTACTAAGTATTTTATTCTTTTTTTTATTGAGGTGAAAGTCACACAACATACAGTTAACCGTTTTAAAGTGTGCAATTTGGTGGTATTTAATGTATTCACAAGGTTATGCAACCACCAGCTCTCTCTGGTTTCAAAATTTTTTTATTCCCTGTAAAGATTTCTGTGATTATGAAGTAGACATTCCCTATACCCGTCCATACCCCTATTGCCCTGACACCTTTAATCAGCTTTCTGCCTCTATGACTTTTCCTATTGTTGATATATTACATGAAAGGAATCATACAATATGTGACCTTTTGTATCTGGCTTCTTTCACTTGACATCATGTTTTCAAGGTTCATTCCAGTTGTAGCATGTCTCAGTACTTCATTCCTTTTCATGGCTGAATAACATTCATTGTATGTACATACCACAGTTTGTTTACCTATTGATCTGTGGATGAACATTTGGTTTATTTGTACCTTTTGGCTATTACTAGAAATGCCACTGTAAGCATTCATGTACAATTTTCTCTGTGGACATATATCTTTATTTCTTTTTTAAAATATTTCTTTATTATACTTTAAGTTCTAGGGTACATGTACACAACGTGAAGTATACATGTGCCATGTTGATTTGCTGCACCCATTAACTCATCATTTACATTAGGTATTTCTCCGAATGCTATCCCTCCCCGCTACCCCCATCCCACAACAGGCCCCGGTGTGTGATGTTCTCTGCCCTGTGTCCAGGTGTTCTCATTGTTCAATTCCCAACTATGAGTGAGAACATGTGGCGTTTGGTTTTCTGTTCTTGTGGTAGTTTGCTCAGAATGATGGTTTCCAGCTTCATCCATGTCCCTACAAAGGACATGAATTCATCCTTTTTTATGGCTGCATAGTATTCCATGGTGTATGTGTGCCACGTTTTCTTAATCCAGTCTATCACTGATGGACATTTGGGTTGGTTCCAAGTCTTTGCTATTGTGAATAGTGCCACAATAAACATACGTGTGCATGTGTCTTTATAGTAGCATGATTTATAATCCTTTGGGTATATGTGCAGTAATGGGACTGCTGGGTCAAATGGTATTTCTAGTTCTAGATCAGCATATACCTAGGAGTAGAATTGCTTGGTCATATGGTTAATTCTACGTTTAACATTTTGAGGCACTGACAAGTTGTTTTTCAAAGTACCTACACCATTTTATATTCCCACCAGCAGTGTATTACAAAAAGCTTCCTGTTGCTCTACATCCTTGGCAAACCTGGTTATTTTGTTTTCTTGATTAAAACCATTCTAGTGGTTATGAAGTAGTATCTCATTGTGCTTCGGATTTGCATTTTCTTATTGACCAATCATGTTGAACGTCTTTTCATGTGCTTGTTGGTCATTTGTATATTTTCTGGGAGTAATGGCTATTCAGGGCTTTTGCCCATTTTTCAGCTGGGTTGTCTTTTAATTATTATTTGAATATTGTTATTTAAATATTAAGTCTATTTATCAGTCTTTATTATATTATCTATATATTATTAATTTATTACACTGTATATCTTTATATGTTCTGAATATTAAACCCACATCAGATAGATGATTTGCAAATGTTTTTCTCCCATTCTACAGGTTGCATTTTCACATTCTTTATTAATAATGTCCGTTGATGTACAATAGGTTTTAATTTTGATGATATCCAGTTTGTTTATTTTTCTATAGTTGCTTGTGGTTTTGGTATTAAATCTGAGAACTTATTGCCAAATTCAGAGTTTCGAGGATTTAGCACTATCTATCAAGAGATTCTCCCACCTCACCCTCCGAAAGTGCTGAGATTACAGGTGTGAGCTACCACACCTGGCCAATAGAACTATTTTTATTTGATTTCTGTGTATGAAATGAGGAAGAGGTTAAACTTAATTCTTTTGCTTCTGGTTATCCAGTTTTCCAACACCATTTGTTGAATGGTCTTTGCATCATTGTTGAAAATAAATTTACTGTGGGTGTTTAGGTTCATGTCTGGACCCTCAATTCTGTTCCATTGGTCTCTATGCCTATGCCTATTCTTATATCAGTATGACATTGGTATCATTATTGTAGACTTGCATTTTATAACTTTATTTTGTAATTTTAGTTGAAGTTATATTTTATAATTTCAGTTTAGTTGAAGTTACATTTTATAATTTTGACTAAAATTTCAACAAAGTTCTGCAACTTTGTTCTTCAAATGTTTAGACTTTGTTATGACAGTTTTCTGTCTATCTAACATCTTTTTTTGTCATTTTATAACTTCAGCTAAAATTCCAGCAGCTTGCTTCTCCTGAAGGAAGAAAAGATTCTGGCATATGTTTAAACCTTCTCTAGAAAGATACTGAAGAGAGTAGCTAACACCTGGAATTTGGAATTAAATTTATGTCAGTGAAAAGCATCTTTATATTTTATCATTTATGTGTTTTAAAAACTGACCTCTCTCTCTGAAGAAGCTCTTTTATCTGGAATCTGTGAAACTTAGGGTATACACCAGGGGCAGCTCTACAAATTGGCATATGCTGTTCTACTTTCAAGCACTTTAATTGCTCTCAGAAGTGCAATTACACACACACGCGCACACACACGCTATAGCAAATATAGCAAACACTTTTTTTCTGACAACAGTTGGAAACAAATCATTGAAATGAACAGTATTTGATCTTGTTATGTTTTGCTATAATTAAACACACTCTCTGTCTCCCTACGCGCGGGCGCACACACGCGCACGCGCGCACACACACACACACACAATCAAGCAGCCCTAGCGCTAGCCTTGTCTTAGGAAAGAGAATATCTGAAGATCATGTTAGTTGGTTTTCCTTTCTAAATCTGATGTTTAAACTCCTGCCTGTGAACCACCTGAGTACACGGCATTCTGTTTTCCTGTCTCTGGGCCCCTTCTACGATCTCT